CACCAGCCTTTGTGGATTTTCTAACAAAAAGAGTTTATGTATCGAGACAATAAACAAATTTCTTTGTGATTGACCACTTTGGTGAACATGAGCATGTCTGGCTCTGTGCTGCCATTTGACCATCACTAGTTGGAGGGACACACTCAACAAGAAGAGGAATAGTCTGGAGATGATTTTTCAGTCATTTATTCCTCAAAGTAGCACTTAAAGGATGTTAGGGAAATCAGCCTTCTTTATGGCTCAAGTCAACCTGATTGTCTGACAACAGACTTGGGTGCCACTCAATAGATCTCATATTTGTGTTAGGCCAATGGAAGTCTCATTTTTTTAAAATGACACATTTTTCATTCAGTAGAAATAAGAATATTATGACTGCTTTCAAGTTCCCATGTGAAGTCAGATTTAAAGTAGTGCTGGATGCTGAACCAGGGACATAGAGAGAAGAAAAAGCATAAAAGTTTTTTGAACAAATTGCAAGAAAAAAAATGTCACCATATTCTCTCAGTGGATTCCGTAAAATTGAATGGTCTTGGTTACCCAAAATCTCACCAATAAAATAATGTCAAAACATTAGACCCCCACCTTTTTTTTTACCTAATCTAGAAATCTCTACATTAAGGAAGGGTCAACATACCAAAAAGACATAGCAAGTAAAATGCCCTGGCAGAACATCAGCCTGGACCTCTCAGGAGCACTCACTTATGGGAATGTTTAGTAAGTACAAACCCAAGAATTTGGGCCATGAAGACTTAATATTTTTAGCTAATTATTGCGCTTTTGGGGTCAGGAGGGAGTGTTCTCTAACTGGAATTGGAAAGAAGAGAATGTTCTGATGGGGTTTTCATTATTATGTGTCATCTACATGTTACCTCCCTCTCTGCCTGGTCCAGTTTCTGAGTCAGAGACTGGCCAGTCCCTTATCTATAGAATGACAGTCATGGTTATCTGGGTTTCTCTTTCACTTTATAGATACAGAACATCTTCACATGGGCTATTTAAGAAGAT